ACAACTACCCCAACAACCTTAGAACTAACATTTATTAAGTACTTAATAGTTCTGGGCACTTTACATGTTTATTCCTTAATATACCCAACTCTTTGTCCCTAATTTATAGCTTTAAGAAATAGTCACACAGATGTTAAATAAATAACGGTAAAAAAGTGATGGAACTGGGATTTGACTCCAGGGTATAACACTAAAGTTCTTAAGAATGTTTAACTGTGTCTGTATATTTAAGTTAAATTGTATTCGTGTGTGCTAATTTCCTAGAACTCCTAACTTGGTATGTTAAAACAAATTTATTCTCTGACAGCTCTGAAGGCTGGAAGTCAATGACAGGGCCATGTTCCCTCTGAAGGTTCTGGGGAAGACTCCTTTGCTGCTTCCTAGTTTCCTGGCATTCCTTCGCTTGTACCTGTATCACTTCAGTTTCCACTTTCTTCTTTAAGACACCTTCCCCCCATGGTCTCTCTGTGTGTCTAAACGATTTTCCTTATCAGCACACCAGTCATTGGATAGTAAGGCCCACCCTAATCTAATGTGACTATTACACCTGCAAAAACTCTTATTTCTGAATAAGATTACATTCTGAGGTTCTGGGTAGGTGTGAATTTTGGGCGACACTATTCAGCCCAGTGCAGTTCATCCTCTGGCCCTGCCAAATTTATATCCATCCCACAACAAAATCACCTCCTCCCAACATCCTTAAGTCTTAAACTATGCCAGTATTAACTTTAAAACCTAAGTCTCATCTAAATATCAACTCAGAAAGTTCCAAATCTCATTATCTGAATCATCTAAGTCAGGTATGGGTATGGGTGAGACTCTGGGTATGATGCATTGTGGGGCAACATTCCTCTCCCATCAGTGAACCTTTAAAACTAGAGAACAAACCATCTGCTTCTAAAATACATTGGTGGGGCAGGCATAGGATAGATATTCCCATTTTTAAAGGGAGATGTTAGAAGAAGAAAAAAGGGGTCATGGGTCCCAACGAAGTTCAAAACCCAGCAGAGCAAATTACATTAGGTGTCAAGGCCTGAGGTTGATCCTTTGTGGCCCCCCTACTCTGTCCTCTGGTGTCGCAGTGTGGCCCCACCCGTACCCTCTACCTGCCTTTCGGAGTCTAGTCCTTTACTTGAAGGATAACACATTTGTAGCCAAGTAGCCCTAACTGCAGGGCTTTTCTTGCCTCTATAGATACATGTAGGTGTTGATAAAGCAATTGCAGTTTAGGACTGCCTAAGTGGTAGAGAGTTTCAAGCCTCAGGTCATTATACTTCAATCTGGTGTTTTCCTGTTATAAGCCACCTCTATAGAGGGCTGTAAGAGCTCCTTTGTCAGTCGCATACTATGGGCTTTGTGGTAGTTTGTGAAACCTATATTAGCAACTCAGACATTTTTGTTTTATTCTGGGTTTGTGTCTGGATAAATTCCCAGACGAGTGAGCTGGTAAGTCACGCATTATTGTGTGCATATTGACTCAAATTTTGGAAGACACCTCCCATTGAAGCAAGATGAAATGTAATTCAATGAAACTACTAGAATTTCTAATACAATTAATTACCCAAAGCTATATTTCATTACTTTGAACCACACAGATGGCATTGCTCAATTCTAAAATAACTGGCCCATTTAAGAAGAGTGGCAAACTTTAACTGAGATGCTGATATATTGTTGTGGAGAGAGATTGATGTTGGTTGGCCTTGAGGTTCTGGTATAATGGGATTTTTTTTTCCCCATAGGCTTTCAGTAGCAGCCAAGGACATTTACTATAAATTATCTTGTTGTAGGTTACTACTGCATGTTTAATAAACTTTCCAGTTGCTGTATGACCTTGATTACTTGATTATTTGAACATTTAGTTAATATCTAATGCTTTCCCTAAAGATTAAGCTATCAGATTGGGGGATCTGGTTTTTTAAAATTTGGTTGATGGGTCTATATAAATTTTCAGTCATTTTATCTTTTTTATGTGTATACTTGAGTTTTTACATGTGCAGTAATAGAATGATTAGAGTGAAGATTGTAATAGACATGAATATGTGATGGTATTATTAGGCAGCTTTTCCAACTTACATGTCCAACAGTTGTGCTCTGTTCAGATAGTTTGAAGGAAAAATGTACTATCCTGGTATTTCTCACTGATTTTTTTTTTAAATCCCAATTTCCTAGATAAATTAAGTCCTTGAGTACTCAACCACTGTGTATTTCCAACATAATGCCACAGGGTGGCACTGTTGTGCTTTGGCTGAATGTTTACAAAATCATCTTTTTCTGTTGCTGTCAAATCTCTTATTTTGTGGAATAAATAAGATGCTCTCAGAAGTATATGAAAATGCACTCATATCAGATACTTTTAGCTGAACATAATCAGTTATGTAATTGCTCTTCAGTGATTGTGCTAGATTGCTTTTTGTGTTAATCAGCTTTTTATTGGCATGCATATTTAAATTTTTTCCCTTGATTGCCCCATCGTGTGTGTGTGTGTGTGTGTGTGTGTACACACACACACACACAGACAGTTAAAAATCAGAGGGCTTCTTTAAGGTTATGAAATTGTAACTTGAAGACACCAACAAGTAAAATGATTCTATAGATGACAACAAGCATATCTTTTTAAGTTTAGGCCTTTTATATAGTATTCTGTTAAACTGTAGTTCCACTCAAATTATATAATGATGTCTTCCAAATCTAAGGTAGCTGTTCTTCCCATTGTTGTTATTTACATTATTTGTGCCAGAATCTATCAAGAGGAAACAGTTATGATTTGTATAGCTGTAGTGCTCCCATTATTTAAAATCTTCAGATTTACTTTCATCACTTTTGCAGGCTTGCTTGCTTTACTTTCTTTAGTGTGTAATTTGTCAAGCCAGTATGTACTAGTGATGCTTGCATTTTAACAAGGTAGTTTGTATTAAGGGCCTTAAGGAGTAAGCACCAGACTATCAAAGGGATTCATAGCTCTGGGACTCCTAAGATCACAGTTTAATATTTCAGTGCTGTTACATGAAATGACTTCATAGCTTTCCTGGGTTGCATTTAGGAAATAATAGTTTTAACAATAACAAGTCTTAGACATTAACTGAATTCATAAAATGGATTCTTGAGAGGAGGGAGAGGGCTAAGGAATAGAGAAATTAATTAAATGAGCCTAATGAAGTTGAAAGTAAATGAGGATCTTTGTCTTGGACTAAAGGACGACGTGTTACTGTAGGGTTGTTGGAAATATTTCCTGGCTAACCAAGAGGAGACTTCTGACTGTTTTCAAATGGAGAGGGAGGGGAAATCTTCATTTTGGGGAGAACTGGTCTTAATATTTTCTGCCCTTGAGGTTAATTATGGGAAAAGTACTTCTTTATTGTAGGACAGTGATTTTCAACCAGTGGGCTGCAAGAATTTTTAAATCATGCAATACTGACTAGTTTGTTAGGGGCACTGACTTCTTTTTCCTTAGGTTGTCAAATAGGAAAATGGCAACAGCCAACACAGCAATATCCATCTTGTGTGAATGAATCAAAATTATACCTGTTTTGTGTGTGTCAGATCAGCTAAAATATATTTCTTGGTGTGCCGCAGAATTTTAGTAAATGGTTTATGTGTGCCTTGAGATGAAAACGGTTGAAAATCATTGCTGTTGGAGAAACAATAAACTCCCTATGAAGATAAGGATCATGTCTGTTTTTCTCATCATGATAGTCACAGCATCCAACACTTGGGCATTATTAAGTAGGGGGATTTCACATCTTTTTCCCAGACATGCTATGTTGGCAGATGTCGCCTTTTAGAGTTGTCAGTCAGGTAAGAACATCAGATTTTGGAGTTGGTTGTTTTAGAAATGGGAGTTGGAGCTAGAGTAGACAAGCTATGTTAACGGAATCTGCAGAGGGACTACCTACAGGAGGTTTTCTGGAAAATAATGGGGCAGTAGAACATTTAGGAAATAACTTACCGAATAATAGTTAACATATGTTTATTCATATAGTAAAACATTTGTGTTCACCTACCTTGCTCCCGGTTTTCTAATGGGCCAATTAAGCTATAAGTTTGTGAGGGCAAGAACCATGACTGATTTGTTTATAAATGTTAGTTCAAAACATATTTGTGTAATATTTGTACATATTCTGCATACCTGTAGAATAAATGGGTTTTGATAGAAAGTTCCTGCCTAACAATAGTAAAAAGAAAATAATTATTATATTTTGGGAAAATGTAATATGAAAGGCATACTATTTGTGTCCTAGTCCTTAACTCTGGGAATCAGATCCTTTGAGTTCCACCCTTTTTGTCATTTATTTTTAGAATGCTTTGTAAAAATTTGTTGTCTGTGGAACAGTGGAGTTAGGTATCTACTTCAGATTTTTAAAAAGAGAGTCTGTTTCATAGTGTTACCAAAAGAATGGAAATTAAAAATCTGTTTTATTTGGAGAAGTCATATTAGAAAACGTTAAAACAATTATTTTTAGGGAAATAAGTATATTTTCCAGTCATGATGATAACTTACAATAAAAGAATAATTTTCAGCTTTGTACCCCTTCCCAAGAAATTATAATAAGGAAATTGTTCCCCTTTTTTCCTGTTAAATAGCAAAGTAAACTTTTAAATCCCAGGATAGAATTGCTCTATTTTAAGAGTTCTTACGGATTTATGATATTTTGTCATACATAAGAATTTCCTCTTAACTAAAATTTATAAGAGGTTTGGCTGCTAAATTTTATCAATTTTGGGGTGACATCTATTCATATAACCATATGGTTTTTCTCCTTAAATATTTAATAATTCATGGAACTTCACTATTTTTATTAACCTATCTTTTTTTCTGGGCTAACCCCAGCTTGTCATTATGTGTTATTTTAATTCCCAACTTAATTTGATTTGCTGGTATTTTGTTTAGTATTATTGTGTGACTTAAGTAAGGTCGGTCTGTAGTTTTCTTTTATGTGCTGCCTTTAGCAGATTTGGTACTAGAACATCTGTTTTTAATTCTCTGTTTCCTCAATTGACAGGTCGAGGTTCAATTTCAGAATTCTTTCATATTATGAAAAGAAAGTTTACCAACAAANAATCAAAAGTAAGGTCGGTCTGTAGTTTTCTTTTATGTGCTGCCTTTAGCAGATTTGGTACTAGAACATCTGTTTTTAATTCTCTGTTTCCTCAATTGACAGGTCGAGGTTCAATTTCAGAATTCTTTCATATTATGAAAAGAAAGTTTACCAACAAAGAATGGGAAACAATCAGAAGCTTTAACGATGAATGGACTCAGCTGGATATGTTTTATAGGAATTGGGTATAATTTCTTACTAATTTTGCGAGTAAAGTCCTGGGATGATTTCATTGTCTTTGCAAAAAGTAGGAGCAAAAAAATTTTTGGTTACCTGGTAGTTCATTCACTGTTTGAAGGAAATAGGCCATTTCTTGGGAACTTCAGGATTTTTATGCATACATTCTTATAGTATAATGAAATTTTAAAAAATTTAACATATATTTAATGCTCAATTAGGAAGTTTACTTTTGAAGCTAAAACAAGGCATTTTATCACTTTTTATAAATGTTTTTTGTCTTAAAGGAACTCATACACATGAGGCTTTATTTAACAAACATAAAATTTAATATATGCCAGAAGACTTACTGTAAGCCTTTTATAAGTTAGTTAATTTAATTATTATAAAAGACCTATGAGGAAAGCATTATTATTGTTGCATGTTACACATGAGAAAGGTGTAGGTCCAGGGAGCTTAAGTGATTTGCCTTAAGATTATACAGCTGGTTTGTCTCCAGGCCTACTATAAGAGTGAAAAAAATAGCTTATAGCCACAGTGTAATATAGAGTTAAAGATCCAGATGTTTGGGGCCTGTAGAGTTTATGAAAAATTTTATCTACTAAAACTCTAAGAGAAAATGTTTTTCTGTCTTAGGCACTGAAAGAAAGCTTCATAAAAGCCATAGGTGTTGGACTAGGATTTGAATTGCAACGGCTTGAATTTGATATATCCCCATTAAACCTGGATATAGGCCAGGTTTATAAAGAAACACGATTGTTTTTGGATGGAAAAGAAGAAAAAGAATGGGCATTTGAGGTAAGAAATTTGTCAGACTTGCTGCAACTGTAAGGATTTTCTTATGTTGTGCCTGTGTGTAAGACTAATTTGGGGAAGCTAGTCATTGGAACAAAACACAACTGGAATCCTATCCTGGTGCTCTGAAGGTGAAGTCGAGGGTACTATGGGAACCTACAGCCTTTTGCTGATACTGGGAAGATTAGTCATAGTGAGTTAAGTAAAATGGGAAGGGAAAGAGGCCCTGGAATAGAAAGAGCTTTGTGTATATAACAGCCAAGGGAAGCTGTAGGGACTGTGCAGTGATGAGGGCTTCCAGGTTAGAGTGGTAACATGATGCAGGGCATTATGGATCAGGATAAAGGTTTTGTTCTCTTTCTGGGTTTGATTTCTGCCACTAGCAGTTCTCAGTTGCTAGTGAGAGAAACCCAACATAAATTCATTTCAGCCAAAAAGATACTCTATAGGCTACTGGAGTGTTTCATGTAACTGGGCCTCAGAATTGACTAGAGTTAGGGACTGGAAAGCTCAGAACTATTTCATATTTTGTTTTTGCCTTTCTATATATACTGGCTTCAGTTTCCTGTTTCTTACTCTACACATCACCTTTCTTCTCTGGTTTGTGTAGCAGGAATGGCTGCTTACCACTCTTAACATGTATCAGTTTACAGGCTAAAACCCAACAGAGATTGGTGAACTCTCTTTCTGTTCCAAGTCCTAAAAGTCCTGGAGAAGGGACTCCCTGGCCTAACTTGGGTCTGGTGCTTATCTTCTGACTAGTCATTGTAGCCAAGGAAGTGGTCTACTGTGATTGGTCCAGCTCGTGTCAGGTGTCCAGAGACCAGCAATTGGGTGTACATTAACATGGTTTTTCCTGCAATAATCACCTGAATTGTGTTCAGAGAAGGTAGATGTCCAGAAGAAAGAACTAGTGATGAGCAGATAATATGGGAGGTGTTCACTAATTTCTTGAAAGAATTAACAGGTGTTAGTAAAGAGTGATAAGATCAGATTTGAATTTTAAGACTAAGTTCTGTCTGTGTGGAGGTTAAGTAAGTGAGCTGTCAAAGATGTTATGCTCAATTCTGTGACTTACATACGACCCTGTATTGAAAAACTGAGTACTAGAGAACAAGTCAAATACAAGTTTGAGATGCCCAAGAGACCCCCAAGTGAAGGTTTCTGAATAGAATGAACGGCTAGACTAGAGGGAGGCAATCGTAATGAACATGCGCGTGGTAATAGAAGCCATGGGGTTTAAGTTGCAGCTGTGACGTTGCCTAAATTTGAAGAGAGAAAGGCCCTAGCACAGCATCTTGGGAATACTAATAATTCAAGGTGGAGGGAGGAGACAGAATGACCAAAATAGTTAGAGATAAAATAAGTAAGAGAGTAGTGTTACGGGATCCAGGGGGCAGAAAGTATTTTGAGAATGAGAGCTGTGTCAAAACTGCTAACATACCAAGTAAGGGCTTTTGTCAGTTTAAGAATAAATTATATTTAGGATATTTTAAGAGTACAATTTAAAAAATTATAACCAAAATTATGTGAAAATGCTTTAATACTTGAAGGGTTAAACTTCAGTCATTTCACTCATAGGGAGTCCTTTATTCTCAGTGGTGCCCAATGGAGTAGGACTAGTAGGAGGGTGAGGAGGGAAGAGGCAGTGACGGGCCAGCTGTGCTTCACTTTTGTGTGTGGTAAAAATGTCTGAGTTCCTGTGGACCAGACAGGTGCTGTGGAAAATGGTAGCCCCTGGGCTTGACGTGTCTGGAAAGGACCCCACTCAAAAGGAAGAGGGGAGCCTACTATTTTTAATTGCCAAGGGCAGGAATTGCAAAAAGTCTGAATGTACTGCTAGCTGTAGGCAGTGGTATAAGGAGGGCTAAAGAACTGGAAGTGGTTCTTTGAAAATACCACAGGTGCCCACCCTGTGTGATAAGCTAGCATCTGGATGCTTCATGTGACTCAGGGCTCTAAAAACTGCATTAAACGGCCTCAGTCATTACTCTGCCCCTTTCCTCCAGCCCCCTTCCTTTGTGCCACCTACCTTAAGGAAGCCAGAGTGGAAGAGGAAGATTGGAAGAGCAAGGTGAGGCCAAGGGGGAAGACTGTGCATTGTCCAGGAGTGAGATGGGATTTTTTAAGCAGAAAGTGAAGAGCTGTGGGGTTTGCCTCAAGGCTTGGCCAGGAGCTGGGAAGGGAGGTGCACTAGGGCGCATTTGGAGGCAGCCTTGGAAGGATAATGAAGTTCTTTGCCACATGTCCCTGAGTGTTTTGTCAGTTCAGTGTACCAGTTAAAAAGTAAGGGAACCATGTGTGTTAGATGCATATATTTAAGTGTGGACTGTTCATTACACTATAAGCAGGCCCAGGAGTGGGGAGAGAACTGAAGAGAATGAGTCTGGTGTCATGGATGCCAGGACCAGCGGTGAGGAGAGAGGGATGAGTACAGAGCGAGGAAGGCATGCCTGCAGTCAGGGTTCTTTATGAGTGAGAATAAAACTGAATTTGGATCAAACAAGGCAAAGGACTTGGACTGAGAGAAAGTTTGATATGTGAGAGTAACTAAAAATGTCATTTATGAGATCTCAAGATTTCATCCAGGGAAAGAAAAATGACTTGTCAGAAATTGTTTAAAGGGAAAGGTGGCAGGATAAGTTGCCTTCTATTCCTGCTCTATACTGACTACCTCCTTTAGTAAACAGAACAGGGTGTGAAGGAGGTTCAGCCTTCTCCACTGTTTACATCTGCACAGGACAACTTGGCCGCAGTCTGCTTCCCTCTTTCCGTGCTGTGTCGATACTACTTCCTGAAACAGCCAGTCATGACCAAACACCATTAGCCCCATGGTTGCGTTTTTTCCCATATGTACTTGGTAACTAAATGTAAGTACACAGGCCATTTGAGAAAGTACTGTGCCTGGGTTGGACACAGGACAAATCCCTAGTAAGCACTACGTGTCAGAGACCATGGTTTTCATTATTGCATGTAGCTAGTGAATAACGGAACTACCATAGACTCATACATTCGCTGCTTTACAGTGTGAGAACTAATATAGCTAAGCTGGGAAAGAGTCCTATTTGTGCAAGCAGCGTTAAAAGAATGCCTGAGGGGTCAGAGATGCACGTAAGTAACAACCTTCACTCCGGTGTGCATCTGGAAGGTACTGGCACCCAAGTAATGATGCAAAAGGCTAAGGAAACTGCCCTCATCCGAGCAAAGCTAAAGGACAGTGCCATCGTAGGACGATGGTAAAATTCTGCATGCTAGGAGAGAAGGGCATCTATTTCCCTGAACACTGTAAGTGAAAATTACATGAAGAGAAAGATTTTTTAAAATGTCCACTTAGTGTTTTTAATAACATTCAAGAAAAGAGCATATCTGAAATGGAAGCTGGGAGCCTTGAGAGAATAGGCTTGGCATTTTAGTGGACAGACTGAATGAGAAAACTGGTCATTGCCCACAATTACTCTGATGTTCGCCAAAGATACAGACATTGCAGAACTGCTGATCTGAGTGGTTTTCCAAAAGCATTTATAGCCACGACATCTCTGTATGTTATAGTGTTTGTATTATTAATATATTCAGTGTAAATAATGGGAGGAGAACCATGTTCAAAAAGAATAGTTTGTTTATTATAAATACTGTGAGTTTGTTTTTAGCTAAAGGGAAAATAACTTTAACCTGTTACATCTTTTTTGATTTTATTTTATTTTTTTTCCCTCCTTAAATGTATTTTTCTAAATTTATTCTCACTGAATCTTAGTTTTTGTTAATTTGGATATCTTAAGGTATGAAGATAAGAAAAACTGGGTAAAGGATATGAAGTCCCTAAGTGGTTCAGTTCCAGATTGTAGTTTGCCTTAGTAAAGCGGCTTTTCAGTGAAAATTTTGTTTAGATTTTTTATAGTTGTTTATACTTTCCTCTGCTCGTGGCTTCAGTGTCTATTACATTTTAAGCCCCCCTCCCCACTTTGTCTTATACATAGGGGAAAATAGTAGAAAGTTGCATATTTTTGGTCTTACCTAAAAAATTGCACCATGATTTATAGTATGTAGTTAACTAAATGTTTATAAACCAGTGTTGCAATCTGATTTTTTAATATTATTTTTAAAAAATATATATGTTTTTATTGATTTTAGAGAGAGGGGAAGGAGAACGGGGGAGAGAGAGAAACATCGATGAGAGAGAATCATCGATTGGCTGCCTCCTGCNCTGATTTTAGAGAGAGGGGAAGGAGAACGGGGGAGAGAGAGAAACATTGATGAGAGAGAATCATCGATTGGCTGCCTCCTGCACACTTCCTACTGGGGATCAAGCCTGAAACCTGGGCATGTGCCCTGACTGGGAATCAAACCAGAGAACTCTTGTTTCATGGGTCAGTGTTCAACCACTGAGCAACCCCAGCTGGACCTTAATGTTAATTTTAATTATATACAAAATTAACATTACCAGTGAGGGCAGATGGCTATCTAGATAGAACAGTTCATCTATGTAGTACTCTGGTTTAAGTGTGTTATATAAATCATTAAGAAACAGCAGACAAAAGCCAAATGAGCAGTTTTCTCTTAGTAATGGGGTAAATGGGGCTTGTATTTTAAAATATTAGTGTCAAAAGAAAGGTTAGCAAGAGATAACAGTATGCAACACTTAACCTAGACTTCTTCCTGTAATAGAGTGGGAAAATGCTCTAAAAGACATTATTGGATTCCTTCACAAATTTGGAATGCAGATGGTAGATTTAAGTACTATTTTCATGTTATATTAACCAAAATTATTAACTACTATGGTTATTTGAGAGGATATTCCTATTAGGAAATAGATACTGAAATATTTCAGACTGCAGGGTCAAAATGGTTTTGACTTCTCTGTAAATGGTTGGGGGAAGTGAGGTTTAGTGTGTGTGTGGAGAGAGGTTGAGATTTTAAAGATGTAAACAAAAGTATATCTAAGTTTACATATTTAGTAATCTGTACTTTTTATTTTTTAGGAAAGCAAAATAGATGAGCACCATTTTGTAGCAGTAGCTCTTAGGAAGCCCGATGGATCAAGACATCAGGATGTAAGATTTCAAGATTTCTCTTACTTGTATTTGAAAAGCATGAGTCAATATCGAGTTTGTTTTTTATTGGTAGAAATAATCATTTGGTTTACATCAGCTTTAGAGGGGTTTTTTTGTTTGTGTGTAGATTGTAGATTTAGAAGTGTTTTTTGTTATCAAATCTTTATCATCTGAGATTTTACAGAAAATTTTAAGAAGCGTGTTGCCTGCTTCACATTCAAATACTTAAATGTTGCAAAGAAAAAACTTTGGTAATATGGTCCAAGTACTCACAGTTTCAGTTGAAATTCAGAAAAATCATACCTTAGTCGTCTTAACAGTGGTTTACTTCCCAGTGAATATCTTGAATATAAGGGTCCCAAGGTAACAGGCTGTGAGTAATGAAATTATCTGGCAGATTGAACCCCTTCCGCCTCTTGTAGTACTATCCTAAATTATTTCCAAAGTTACACTATCAAACCTGTGAGATCCCTTGTATCATATTGTGGCATAACATAAGTCTCAGCTCTTCCCCTTAGAACCTGTTTTTACCTCTGCTGTTAAGTGGTAATTGGAGAAGTTAAAAAATAAACCTTAAGGTCAAGAACTCTTAGCCTACATATAGTTGTGATTCTGCAGTAGTTATGGACTACTGATATTAGAATAATCAAAATATATGCATGTCATTTTTAAGGAATCCATGTGAGAGAATGTGGTGTGCACTATACACACATACACATAACATCACTATCTCTAGAAAAGTAGTTCAGTCCACAGACCATGCCTTAGATAGATGAACAGAGGGTTAAACTTCCTCATAGATTATCTTTAAAAAGGGATGGCATGTTATAATTGACCCCTATTATCTGAAGATTCTGACCAAGGTTACCTTTCCTTGTCACTTACCCTATTTTACCTCAGCTGTGCCCTTTCTGTGAATACCTTCTATTTCCATAGAGCTTTATATTTTTTGTAACATTTACACACATGGTACTTCCTTTTTATTTCACTGGAGAAAGCCTGTTTAGGCAGCAGCATTGACATAGTGGGAAAGGATGAGAGTACTATTCAGAAGACCTGGGTTCTAGACCCAGGTCGACTGTTTACACCTGTTTCGTGACCTTTTGCAAAGTAGTTGATCAATTTCTCCATCTATAAAATTGAGATACAACCATATCAGCATATCTGTGAGATATAATCACATTAAACATGTACTGATCTTGTTAAAACACTATATAAGATCCAAGTAGTATCTTTATTAGAAAATACAGAATGTTAAAGGAGGTCTACATGGGTTTCATTTGTGAACCAGGGCTCTTATCTCACAGAATAAGATACAGTTTAAGTTTACTGTTGAATGACTCATTTCCTAAGGAAGTTTTGCATCTCTGTGTGATTATAGGAATTTTATCAGAGCCACTCTCTAGAGTGTTTCTCCAAAGCTTGCCTGGTGGCCCCCCTCTATCAGAATAACTCATGTTCTTGTTATATATTTTGGGGTCCCTTTCAACTCATTTCCTGAATTAGGATTTTTGGATATGTGACTCAGTAAGTCTACATTTTAGACAAACACCACAGGTTACTGTCATGTACAAAAAGTGTGAGAATCGGTATTTCATACTTTTCTGAATTTGATATATTAGCAACATTAATATAAGGAGTAAAAACAATTGGAAGTCCTACTATGTTGTACTTTAATATTACTGAAATGTAATTTGGTCTTATTTCTTATTTTCCTAATTATAAAATTGATCATAAGATTAACAACATGCAGTGTAACAGTGAGGTAATCTATTTTTTTCCCTTTTAGGCTTCATCTCAAGATGATTCTAAGCCATCCCAGAGGCAGTTTACTATTCTTACCTATAATGATTTAATATCATCTGCTGTTCCTATGACCCCTGAAGATCCTTCATTTTGGGACTGTTTTTGCTTCACAGAAGAAATTCTGATACGAAATGGTACAAAGTCATGATATGATAAGTAACAAAGGGAAGTGAGAACTGTAATATTCTGTATTCACTAAAAAATAAATGCCTGATACTATCAAATCTTACTTCACAAAACAGCTTGAAAAAGAAAAACAACTTTTCCTATTTTAAAAGCTTATGCCCAGTTCAAAATAGCTTAGTAGAATACATGTTTACCTTTCCTCCCCAGAATCACGTTGAGTTGACAAATAGAAAGGGGTAGCAGAATCTTAGGTGATGTATCCCTCGTTTCATGGCACTTTGCTTTATTGGGCTCCACTTTATTGTGCTTCACAGGTGTTGCATTTTTTACAAATGGAAGGCAAGACCCTCCACCAGCAAAAAGGTTATGACTCACTTTATTATGGTAGTGTGGGGTTGAACCCGCAGCACCTCAGGCATGCCTGTACATGCTTATTGTAGAAAAAACAAAACATGCAAGTTTGCAATAAGGGAACATGTAAATTCCTGTCTTTTGGACATAACTGTATCAGAAATAACTATTTCTAAAACATTTTCTTGGCAAATGAATCCATATTAATATACTTGTTTTTAAGTAAAAAATGGGAACATGCTATTTTATAATTTTTTTCTCTTAACTGCACATCTACTGTTCATAAATACTTCCATGACAAAACTTTTACTGGCTCTAAAGTATTCTGTTGGATGGCTAACATCAGTTAGGATGCCTTGACCAGAGGTAACAGTGTCCAAATATAATTGACTTAAGTAACTAAGGACATTTATTATCTCATGCAACACCCAGTTGAAAGGTGTCATTAGATGTTTTTGCCTCAGCCTCAGTTTGTTTTGCCTTAGACTTGTCTCATGGTCATGAGAGCTGCTGCTATAACTTCCAGCTTCACATCTTCATGAAATTGCAGCTAAAAGTAGGGAAAGGCTGTTCTCCTTGCACATCTCAAGTTTTGTCCATGAGGAGTACATTTCCCAGATTTCCCCTCAGCTTCCCTGGACTCAGATCAGGTCACTGAGAAAGGCAGTCCTTAGACACTGTGGGAAGTAGATTCTCGTTTAGGAAGAAGCTGAGGCACGGTGGGGAGAAGGGCGTCCCAGGGGATCCCACTGCCTGCCGGAGGGAGGTGGGCCACTTTGACTCATTTCTCCTGTTACACGTTTGATTGTCTGCAGACTTGACTGTAAACAGTAGTGCGGTGAATGGCCTTGTAAACACATTTTGAGTTATGTGCTTAATTATGCCCTTGAGAAAGTTTCTGGAAGTGGAGCAATTGGCTCAAAGGGATTATACTTTTTTAGAGCTTTGATAAAAATAGCCAAATTGCTCTCCAAAAAGGCAGTGCAGCCTACACTTGTGGTTAGTTTTATGTGTGTGACACCCTTTCACCCCCCACCTGCACACTCCCTAGTAAAGTCGAGATACTTTTTTTAAAATTTTAATCTTCGCCAGTAAGTGAAAAGTGGTACCTTATTTCTTAAATTTCTATTTCTTATTACGAACAAGGTTGATATGTCAGTGTTGTTAATGGCTGTTTGTATTCCTCCTTTAATGAACTGCCTGTTCATGGTCTTTGCCTGTTTTTATTTTAGTAAATAGGACTTAATTTAAAGTGGGAACATAATATATAAAATGCCAAGACCATCATATTGATGACAGAATCTATTATCTGGTTGTAGTGCATGCCTTGGGGAGTTAGTCTTGTTATTGTTTAATATCAGGAAGTGAACTAATCTTATTTTTTCCATTACTAAAATTGAAAGTTGTGTGTAAATTGTATAAAATTAGATACTTGGCTTAGTAAAAAACATTTGCAATGTTTTATAATTTTTTATTTTATTAAGCATGCCCAAATATCCCAAGCATAGTAAATAACGTGTTTTAAACGATCAAGTAGCACTTATAATAGAGGAAGCATTGTTAGCCGTAGCATGAATGTAATGACGATATGGAAAACTGTCATCTGTCTTGTCATTATAATAATAAAGTGATTAACATTGAATTTTTATGAGCCAGATATTGTGCTAGATTTTGTTTTTGTTTTTCTGTTCTTTCTGAATCAGAGTTTCACATACACATAGTTTAAAGAGTCAAATAGATCTACAATATTTTTCCTAAATGAAAAACACCACTACCTTGACCTCTTCCCATTTCCTGTCTCTAGAGCAAGGTCTTTCAGCTCTGTACCTGATTTTTTGTTGTTAGTTATAACCATATCTCCAAATAACATTCATATATTGCTTTTGCATGGTATTTCAATGTTAGGCAGTTTTTTAATTCCTAATGTAAAGCTTTGCTATTCTGTTTCCCAACCATGACATATTTCCTTCCTTGCTGCTTTTTTCCCTGGCATAATCATTATAACTTAGTGTGTACATTATTGACTGTGATTAAGAATGTTTGTTATTAAGATTATGTAATGCTGTGCACAGCCGAACATATTATTCTTACCCTCCTCGGTACTGCATTTTTTTTCCTGTCCCTTTGAAATGTAGGTAAATCTTTTTATTTTTTAATTTTTATTGGGGTGACATTGGTTAATAAAATTATGTAGGTTTCAGGTGTACAATTCTGTTAATACATCATCTGTGTATTATATTGTGTGTCCACCACCCAAAGTCAAGTCTCCTTTGGTCACCATTTATCCCTCCTTTTTTGGTCACCTTTATCCCTCTTTTACTCCCCCGCTTTCCCTCTGGTAATCACAGTACTGTTGTCTGTGTCTGGTTGGTCTTTTGTTTTGCTTCGTTTTTTGCTTAATCCCTTCACCTTTTTCACCCAGCCCCCCTTATAGTGCATTTTTATTTCTTTGAGGTAATAACTGACTTGTTTGCATAGGTTTCCACTACTTATTGCTAATGCAACCCGAAACCCTGGTAGATGTGTGACTGTTTTCTTCATACGTTCAGACACACCAGTTCATCGCTTTTATCCGTCGTCTTGTTCTGTGTTGTCAGGTCTGCACAGCTGTCCTAGGGTTTCCTTGCGCCGTCATCCTGGGATGGTCCCCCTCCCCTCGTTGGATTCCCTGATTGCTCACTCCCTGTGTCTCATGTCTCAGATTCCCTCCTTCTCTTTGTGTGGATCATGTCCTTGAGTCTTCCTGGGAACAACGGGAACATGGGAAACTAATTCTGAGACTGTCTGAGGAAGGGGCAGTCCTCTTATGCAGAACAGTATAGGAGGAGATCTAGCTGCTGCTTCCACACGACTCCACTCACCTCCGCCAGCAAAGCCCAGTATTGGTGCTTCTAGCTGTTGAGTTCTGTGCTGGGCTGGACCATAGTACTGCTTCGTGTTTTGCCAAGTCCAAACCATTCCTTGTACCACATTACCCAATGTATAACTTTATTGGTGTGTATTAGTAATTTCCGGCGTGGGAACTCATGAATTGATTTTTAGAATGGGCCCGTGTATGTACATGTGCATGTACACATATGCACATACCCCTTGCGGTGGAAACTCAGGAATCAAATAGATTTGGATAAGTGTTCAGTTACATTTCTCACTATTCTTATTTCTTACTATCTGAAACTCAGAAACTGATTAGATTTGGGTAACACAGTAGCCCCTCACTGGCTGAACTGTTGCCATATACACTTAAAAACTGAGTAGGTTTATAAATACATGTTTATATATGCATCTTTGATAAAATACATACATACCTGAAGACAGATTCCATTTGCTAGAAATCAAAGGGAATGTGAAGAGAGCTAATGATTTCATTTTAGGGGGAAAATAAATATGCCATCATAGTGTTGGTGAATTTGGGATTGGCAAAGGTCTTTGGACATATCTCCAATTAACAGCTTTGTCTGCTTTAGGTTGGACATGTATATATTAGAATAGCTAGTTTCCTTTATATGTGCTTCACATGTATCAGGCTATTCAGTCCTCAGAAGCTTATAGAGTAGATTCTATTGTCCCCGGTTTATAGATGGCAAAAAAAAAAATCCTGAGATACTAAGCAGCTTGCTTTATATTCTACCTCATTGAATAGTGGACTCCATACTCAAGTCAGATATCTTTGGTCCAGGGCTTTCACGCCACTGTACTAAATTTAGTGGTGTGCTGGCAAATGTTTTAACAAGGAGCAATCCTGGGGCCAGATGATGGGGTCTGGGAGCCTTTATTTGTGACTTTTGCTAACTTTATGGACTAATACCACACTTGTAACCACACCTAGGTTTCACATATGGCTGTTTTGCCATATTTGTTTCAGATTTTTATTTTTTTCCACACATGCGCTTAAAGACCTCCCACCCCCCAGTTACCTCCTCCTCTCCAGGCATACCTATCACTTGTTGCTTATCTGTGTAACTACTTGTGTATGCATCCATAGTCTTATATTTTNTCCAGGCATACCTATCACTCGTTGCTTATCTGTGTAACTACTTGTGTATGCATCCATAGTCTTATATTTTCCTACTAGGGTTGAAACATCAGAATGGGGATCTCTGTCACTTAAAGGTGGCAACTGTGCCAATAACGAGCTCACTTAAGCCCAGGCTTCTCAAAGGAAAATATACATAACCCTTAGGGATAGGCAGTGGTGTGTTAGAAATTACAACTGGATACCTAGAGGCATTTTATTTCTGTGTTTGGAAAGGTTTTTATAATAAAAGCAATACAGATACTGGTAATAGAATATAAACTTGCCATGTTTTAAGACAAACGGCAGGGGGCTCCAGAGGAATTTTTCCAGCTAGGAATATATAGTAGTCACTTTTTTTAGGGCCATTTTTCAGTGGAAAAATTGACAAGTAACATTTACTGAATACTGAAGCAGACGTAGAACCTAGTGCCTGGTTGGCATGACGCACCCTGTCGCAGGCCACCTAGGGAGGAGTGCCGTGTGCTAGGTGGAAGGCCGCCCTTCTACTGGCCTAGACCTTGAGCAGTAGGCAAGTGGAAGCCCCAACTTTGGTGGTCCTGAGAGTACCCTGTTTTTTCTCTTGATACTTAGTGTTCTTTCTGTGCCTTTTCAAGTCTTGCATGAGCAGGGAGCCTGCTAAACCAGATATTCTTGACTCCCCTAAATCGACTCCACCCCCTCACCCTGCTCAATGTCCCAGGAAGTTGGCTTCTAGCACTGTGTTACCCAGAATCCTTGGTTGTGTTTCGCACATGGCAGAGGCCACCAGGAGAAGACTGCGTGGGAAGGGCAAGAGGTCAGGGTGTTTATTCTCTTACCTCTCTCTGCAGTGGTTTGGAAATAGCTGTGTTCCTGCACATCGTGGCCATTAACATAGCCCTCTCCTCCAAACAGAGACCCCCAGGTTCAGGAACCACGTTTCCTTACCTTTGCTTGTTAGGAGTGGAAACATCTTGCTCTTGCTTAGCCCAGGCTGCTTCCCCATCTCACAGGTTTCTTTATCCTTGCCCGCACACTTCGCTTACTCCTTTTGGGCGTGCCATCTCTTCATCTCTTTTCTGCTGCAATCCTGAGTAATATAGTAATTTGTGCCATGAGTAGCCCCAGAAACAATCAAAGTGGGGTTCTGGGATTGGAGTGTTCACATATTTGTTGGCTATACAAGTAACTTTCTTGCCAGGGGAGATGGATACTTATAATGGGTGGAAAGAGGCACTTTCACATTTACTCCAGTTCCCTCTAACGGTGGGGTGGGGTGATGCAGAACAGCAAGTTGGGGGATCAAGTGGCTGCAGCATTATTTAGCATTTAGTGATGGGGGGGACCTTGGTTGGGATAACAGTTTTGAGGTGGTGGTTTTAGATTTCCGGGTATATACAAAGGAAACATCAGAAAACTTAAGGCAACTTACTTTAGGGGAGGAATATCTTCTCTTTTGTAGCTGACAAAAGCGACCCCTCCTGTTTGAGGGAAACAGTCTTACCCCACCCCCTACACTCTAAAGAAAAAAAGTGGCATCAATGGCTGCACCTAAGACAGGTCTCATAAGGGAATAGCAGTTCTCAGGATCCATATCCACCATCCATCTTTACTTCCTGGAAAATAATAAATTAGCCCTGGCTGGGTGGCTCAGCTGGTTGGAGCATCGTCTCACACCAAAACGTTGCTGGTTTGATTCCTGGCAGGGCACATACCTAGGTTGCGGGTTTCATCCCAGGTTGAGGTGTGTTTGAGAGGCAACAGATGGATGTTTCTCCCTTCCTCTCTCTAAAATTAATCAATGAAAACATATCCCCAGGTGAGGGTTTTAAAATGACAATGAAATAATAACAACAATAATAATAATAAATTAGAGTCAGTGCATCCCAAACAAGTAAAAGATCAGATCAAAGAGAAGGCACCCATGCAGAAGAGTTGCAGGATGTTACCACTTTGCATTGGTAAAAGTTGGAGAATAAGTGTAGTGATGGATTCTAAGGGTATTAAAAAGGATGATTATGAGATAGGCCAGACATTGATATGGGTATATTCACGCTGGAAATGTGATTTAATGCGTTGGCTTGAGAGCCTGGGACTGGAGGTAACAATGACGGAATGGCTGCCTACAGTCAGCCAGATGGAAATGTCAGAGCTTCCCTGGCATGCTCTAAAGGGGAAAAGTCCAAAGTCCTAGGGAGACAGGGATGTGGATCTGCTCTGTGCAAAGCTGCTCATTACCACAAGCTCTGGTTTACAAGAACAGAAATGTATTCATTCTCTCAGAGTTCCGAAGGCCAGAGGACTGAAATTCATCTCACTGGGCCGAGATTAAGGTGTCAGCACCCTGTACTCCCTCTGGAGGCTCTAGCACTCTGGCTTTCTGTTCCCTGCCTCTTCTGGTGGCTGCAGTCATCCCTGGCTTTTGTTCACATCGCTCCAGTCTTTGTCTTTATGGACACATTGCCTCCCCTTTGGTTTGTGTCCAATCTCCCTGTGCATCTCTTACAAGGATGTTTGTGACTGAATTTAGGGCTCACACAGATAACCCAGGATTCAAGATCTTTACCCAAATCACATCTTTGGTCTCTTTTGACATATAAGGTATCATTCACAGATTCCAGGGATTAGGACTTGATACCTTGGGAAGGGGGGATATTAATCAG